GGTCTCAGGTCCTAGTTCTCGGCCCGTTATTCTGCTATCCGCATTCCATAGATGAGGAAGATATTCAATAATGGCCCTAGGATGTTGAATGAGAGGATTAGTAACTCGCCCCACTAATGACAGTAGGTTATCCTTGATAAGTGTGGAGTTATCCCCCTGTGGGATTCTGAGTGGTGAGCGCCTCCTTTGCCTCGACCCAGAGGAGACACACTTTCCTTTTTCCTCAATAGTGTATCGTTGAGCCATATCTTAGTCAAAGACAGTTGTAGTAGAAACACCGTGAGGCTAGGTCTGTATTTTGCCCCAACGTTCTGAACTTTAGTACCCAAGGAAACCGGAAGACTCAAACAAGAGTAGTCGACCAAAAGAACTCTGCCGTTCTGTAACCAAAAGAATCGAAAAACCTGAAAACCTGAAAGCTCAAAAGAGAGTAGCCGCGCAGTAACTCTATTACAGAGTAGAAGAGAAGACCTGGAGACTCAAAAATAGAGTAGTAGTTCTCAAAACTCTACTGTAGAGTAGCCAAGAGAGTTTCTAGGATCAAGTTAGCTAAGGCCTTAAGGAAGGAAATTGACTGCATAGTGTCCTTTTGACCCACGGAATGTTGGCCGGAGTTACACAGGGAGGGCTTTCTGCAGCTTAGTCGGAGTAGAAAGAGCAACTCATTTGCACACCCAGTTCAGAGATCTCAAGACTTAACCTCCCCATAGCTGCTCCTCTTCCTCTCCCCTCTACTTCCATCAGTCACGAAGCCGGTCTGACTCAAAAGAGCCGTCGCCGGAGCTCAATTTCTCCGATCTCGCATCCAATCTCGACAAAGAAAAGTTGGTGAAGAAGAGGAGACAAGGTGATTTTGAAATTTTTTACTCAAACCGGTAATAAACCATTGGTTAAAGTTGACCAAAAGTTTACCCAGCAGACTTAAAACTTTACTCGGGAAAAGCGTCTGAGAGCGTCTTTTTCAAGTCACTATTACGAGTGTAGTTAGTCTAAAATTGTAATTGATTTGTACTGATCATGCATTTTTTCAGATTGCCATTGATATCCATTGGATGAAATTTGGCCGGTGATTTTGAATCTAATTCAGTGAATTTTCGTTTAAGGAAAGCCATAAATACTTGATTTTGTGGGTTAAAAATATTGAATCGGGTTTTAGCTCTGATCCGAGTCATCGGCTTTAGCGGTTTTTGACCGGTTTTACCAGTTTAATTCAAATCTAGATTTCAACTCCACTCGAACTCGGTTTAATGAACGGTTCATGGTTAGAC